TAAATACAGGTAATTCTCAAGGACGATGCTGAGAAGATGAAATCAAATAAACTAGATTGAATGACTTCATTTATATAAAGTTCAAAAATCAGTTCCCAAAACCCCAATGTAGTAGTCAAATTGTACAGAAAAACAAAGGAATGATCAGCACCAATTTCAGGGTAGTGGTTTTCTCTGCAGGGGCAGGGAGGGATGCATTCATTGAGGGACACACCAATGGCCCCTTATGTTTTCTTCAGCTGGCGGGTGGATACAAAGATGTTTACTATTCTTTAAACTGTACAGGTACACTTTTAGACACTTTGGGGTGAATATTTCAGAAAACTTTTAACCTCCTGGCTTGCCTTACTACCATCTGCTGGGCCTGTCTCCAAATCACGGTGCTGCTCCTTCCCCAGCTGCCTGTTCCCTCAAACCTGCTTTCTCACCGAGGCAGCAGTCAGTAGTCCCAGGTGTCCGAAGAGAAATTGTTTGGTGGTGTAATCAGTGCTTACTGCATCCTTTGTGCACTTGACCCTCTGAGGATCAAACCCTGCCTAGGCGTGGGGGTGGGGTTGCCAGCGCCTTTGCTCACACCAGACACCCCTACTCTGTTCCTCTGTCCTGTATCCACCTAGGGAACTTCCACTTCAAAATGTGGCTGTGTCACCTCCCCCAGGTCCACCTGACGTCCTAAACTGTTGCACATCCTGTCCTCTGTGCTGGCACCTCTATCAGAACTCTAGCGTCATGTCTGTATTGCTCTGTTGACTCCTGTCTCCGTGCCTGGATTATGTTCCAGCCACTTTGTGTCAACAGAGCCTTAGTTTATTAATGCAGCAGAGAAGGCAGTCAGACCATGCCTTTATACGATAGGTGTCAAGTGTCAAGGACCACCATGACCTTGGCTATGTGTGTCAATACAGTTAAATCTCAAGGGTAATGGCAGTGCAGGCAGAGCAGGGAAAATGTACAGTAGTCAACATTTACTGAGTGCCTCATCTCTACATGAATCAGTTCACTTAATTCTCAAGAGCCCTATGAAGTCCGTCTCTTTCTTGGGTAAGTAAATACAGGGCTTCACAGAATGTTAGTTGTATCAGCCAAAATGAATGAGCCCTTCGTAGGGCTCTTAATTCTCAAGAGCCCTATGAAGAACTTATTTTTCAGATGAAGAGCCTGAGACATAAAGATGCACATCACAGAAATGTGCACAGCTGGGATTCAAACCTGGGCTGCTGGCTCCGGAGCCTGCATTTAACCATGACAGACACTACCTCCTGGAAAGGTGTGCAGTGGGTCATCAGCTGCCCGTACCTGTCTTCATCAGCTTGGTCTCTAAAGTCACATGGCTTAAAAACCCTAGCTGCATTATTTACTGGGTGGCCTAAACAAGGCACTTCTCTGAGCTTGTCTTCTCACCTGTAGAACGGGGACACCACCACCTGTCTGGCAGGGTCATTCTGTGGTACTCACTGTGAGGAGCTCCATCACAGCATCAGTGTTACTGGGGAGACGGGTGTGACTACACTGCCCCCAGGTGACCTCCTTGATTAGTGCTCCAAGCTCAGGAACAATACAAATGCTTCCTCACCTTCAACAGTGGAGGCGAGGCAGGGTTTGATCCCCAAAGGCTCAAGTGCACAAAGGATGCAGTAAGCGCTGATTACACCACCAAACAATTTCCCTTCGGACACCTGGGACTACTGACTGCTGCTGGGTCCTAAACACAAAACTCACTAGCTAGACAATGTGGGTGAGTCCTTTAGAATCCACCACCCCCCAACCAAGATCTGCTTCCAAAAGGTTCACCTACAAGGCAGCTGGGCCAACATCTGGTGAGCTGTGGCAGGAGGTGACAGCTCTTCATTTTGGTTGATAAAACTAACATTCTGTCAAGCCCTCTGTGTTTACTTATCAAAGAAAGAGACAGACGTTGTCTGGGCTTTGGACTGAGCCCCAAGGTTGAACCTCTCAATCTGCTACTTAGCATCAGTGTGACATGAGCTGAAGAGATAAATGACAGCAACGGATACATGGTCCTGCCCTTAAGATTAAGATCTAGTTAAGAAAGACAAATGCGCAAACACCTTCCAGGTAACAGCACTATGCTAAAGGCATGAACCATGGGCTCCAAGAAAGCTTACTCACCTGGCAGGGCAGCAATGGGCTCCAGAGGCTTCCTGAAGGACTTGGCCTGTCTCTGGGGAGGGCAGACTCCAGGGACAGGGAACAGTAGGGTGGTAACAGTAATAGTAGCAGCAGCAAGTTTAAAAACATATATTATTTATGATGTGCAGTCCCTATTCTAAGCACTTGTCACATTCACTTCATCCTTACTCTATCTCTAGTAAGTACACTACCCCCATCTGCTGGATGAAGAAACTCAAACAGAAAAAAAGTTAAATAATCTGTCCAAGGTCTTGCAGCTACTAAGTGCCAGAACTGGGTTTCAAAGCCAGACAGTCCAGTGCCAGGACTATGCTCCCACCTTCTGCTCCGTTCTGCAAAGGAAGAGCGGTATGAAGTCCACATGGTATGCAGGGACCAAGAGTCTGCTGAATTGCTGGACAGCAAAGGGCAAGGTTGTTTTGGTTTTTTTGAGATGGAATCTCATTTTGTTGCTAGACTGGAGCATAATGGCGCAATCTCGGCTCACCGCAACCTCCGCCTCCCGAGTTCGATTCTCCTGCCTCAGCCTCCTGAGTAGCTGGGACTACAGGCATGCACCACCACACCCAGCTAATTTTTTGTATTTTTAGTAGAGACGGGGTTTCACCATGTTGGCCAGGATGGTCTTGATCTCCTGACCTCAGGCAACCCACCCACCTCGGCCTCCCAAAGTGTTGGGATTATAGGCGTGAGCCACCACACCCGGCCAAGGGCAAGGTTGTTTTAAGAATTAAATGAGTGGCTGGGTGTGGTGGCTCACACCTGTAATCTCAGGACTTTGGGAGGCTGAGGCTGGCAGATCACCTGAGGTTGGGAGTTCGAGACCAGCCTGTAATCCCTGGTGGTGGTGGTACATGCCTGTAATCTGTGCTACTCAGGAGGCTGAGGCAAGATAATTGCTTGAACCTGGGAGGCAGAGGTTGCAGTGAGCCGAGATCGCGCCACTGCACTCCAGCCTGGGCAACAAGAGCAAAACTCAGTCTCAAGAAAAAAAAAGAGAATTAAATGAGCAAACGTAGGTAGCAGGCATGGAGCTCTTCTGCTGATGCAACTGCACAGATGGAAGGCCAGATGAGATGCACTGCGGAGCCTTAGGACCCAGACATTAGGCTCCCGGACACCAGGACAGCACCAGATGTCAGTTCTAGGGCAATGGTTCGGAACTGGTGAGGGATAGATTAGTCTCTCCGAGACACATACTAGGGCTCCCCTTCTCTAGAAAAATGTACGTATGCATAGACATGCACCATGCTTCACAAAATTTTAGTGTAACTATAGCGTCCCAACCCACGGATCCCCCAAGAACCTTTGTCCTTCAGTCTCTCCTGCTTAGTTTTCCTGGAAAGGAAGGCAGGTCTGAAATACGCACATTATAGTTCCCCTGGCTCGGCCGCTCCTAACCAGAAACTGTTGGCTTTAGTGCTGTACCAGCCCTGAGGTCCAACTTAGCCCAGCAAGTCCCCCAGTCGTGCCCTCAATCCTCTCCCACTCAAGTAACCCACCCTACCACCTGCAAACCATAGCTGTTGTTAGCCCACCTTGTACTAGGCAGTTGTCCTAACCTTTTTTTAAGTATGTCCTGCCTTGGAAGAACCATATGATTGGTCTTTTTTTCCTCCTACCCTAAGATGGCGTCTTGCTCTGTCACCCAGGCAGTACAGTAGCAGAATCTCGGCTCACTGCAACCTCCACTTCCCAGGTTCAAGCGATTCTCCTGCCTTAGCAGGAGTACCTGGGATTACAGGCACCTGCCACCACACTCGACTAATTTTTGTATTTTTAGTAGAGACGGGGATTTCACCATGTTGGCCAGGTTGGTCTCAAACTCTTGACCTCGTGATCTGCCCACCTTGACCTCCCGAAGTGCTGGGATTACAGGTTTGAGCCACCACACCTGGCCCAGGTCTTTTCTTAATAATAAACACTTGTGTAAGTTAAATGGTTTATATTCAACTTGTATAAGTTAAGTGGTTTCTTTACTGGGGGGTTTTTCCAAGTTTCCCTAGCTAGTAGGCATCCTGACTCTCCCAGCAGATACGGCACGCCCAAGCTTCCCTGACAACAGAACACTGCCCCAGCAAAACATGCCCGGAGGTCTCCTGTTACGTCCACAATATGGCCCACCATACTTTGCCCCTAAAGCTCCCCACCTGGTAACACCCCATGTCTCAGCTCCCCTTCTCAGCACTATCTTTTGTCTATAATCACTGACTCCCACACTTCCTCACCTCATATCCTCCTACCCCACTCCAGGCAGGCGGCCAGCCCCGACCTTCCATTGGGATGGCCCTTGTCAGGGGACTGTCAATCACCCCAGCCTGCACACCATGGTCTCCCCCTCTTAGCCACCATGACCTCCTTCCTGTTCCTCCATACATCTGGTTCAGTCCAGCCCTAAAGCTGCTCTCTGCCTGCCAACACTCCTCCCCTCTTAGGTCCCTGTCATTCCAGCTTCAGCTTCATCATCACCACTTCAGAGGCCTTTCCTGACCTGCAATCTAAAGCAGTCACATGACCCTACAGGAATTCCCTATAAGGCACATTCATTATTGGATCTTTGTCCCGAAACCAGTCCTACCTCAGCTTTTCAATCGCCACAGTCAATAAAAAAATCTCCTTTTTGACTTATGCCAGCTGAGGACAGGCTTTCTAGCACCCACAAGCACCCACAACTAAAGAACCCTGACGGAGATGCTCAGACCTCTCCACCAGCAAGATCCAGCTCATCCTCCCTGCAGGTCTCCCTCCCTTCCAGGCTTGTGTGGGAAACCAAGTCCACAAGGCAAGTGGCAGGACTAGTGACTTGAGGCCTTGAAACTCAACGTCAAGAACTGCAGGGACATGGCAGATTTCAACTGCAGATTTGTTTTTATCTCTGCTGTGCAATTAAAAAAAAAAAAAAAAAAGGGTAAGAGCTGTGAAAGGAAAGGAAGACGGGCTTCCCGGAAGCCAGTGCCCCAGTGTGTGCTCCCTCCCCTTGACCTTCCCAGCCCTGGGCGCTCCTGGTACACACAGACACAGGGAGGTGGTTATGTTTATTGTTTTCTTTTTTTAATGAAACTAGATCGCTGCTTACAAAACCCTGCACAGCCCTCCTGCCCATCCCCTTCACAGTTCCCTTGGCTCAGCCTCTCCTGTCTCACAGAACTGCAACAAAATGGGTGTGGAACAGCCACCACCGCGTCCACTGGACGACAGGAAGGGAGAGGCCCTGGGCCTTTAGAGGGTGACAGTTCTTCCTTCCACATCCGTTCCCATAGGGCCTGGAGGTGCATGGATGAGGGTGGTCCATGCCACCATGGTTCGCAGGCCACCACTCAGACCAGAGTGAAATGATGTGAATGTCCCACCCCACAGAGCCCCCTCCCC